GGACCATTTCAGAACTATTCAACATTTGGTTTTGAAAGTCTGTTGGGTAAGAGTACACTTGTTACAGTGTTATCTAACTTATATCGTCTTATTTGTCTAAGAGAGTAAAAGAAAGAGAAAGAAATTTCTGCTCTAGACAAATATTTGGTAGCATATGTACGGAAAAAGTGCTGTTACACTCTCTTGATTCCATACTCTTTTATTCAGGGATTATAACGGCAACTGTCATGGAGACAAAAAATTTTGGACAATAATTAATGAATACAATTACCAACATCCAACTAGCTGAACGACAATTATATGAAGCATCATTTGATAGCCGTACTAGAAATATTTATCATCGTTATTCTCGAAATACCGAATGACAATCACCCAGTAAATTGATAGTGATTCATACAGGATGATAAAAAAAATAACAAATGTTGATCAAGCACGGCGCGTAATAGCTGTGACGTATTTTCAAACGCAAGATGTTGATTACTTTTCATCAATCATAATCCGGAAAATAAAATTTTCCATCCATTGTTCTAAACAGTGTAGACAGACAAACGATGGTATTGTATTGTTAAAATTACGAGAATAATTTTCGTCATGTACACAAGTAGCACTAATCGAAGAAATAATCAAAGTGAAAAACTAGATCTTTTTGGCTGTCCAATTAGTGGAAACACGTGGCAAATTGAAATTGACATTAGATAGCCACGAAGTTTTATGTCCTTTCGTTTACGTTGGCAGTATTAATTCACTTCAAGATCTTGTTACGTAGCGTTTTATACGTAACTTGTATCCTTCTTTGTGTCAGTGCCAATAATGAATTATGTTTTCATATTTTATTAACAAGGATATTTACATCAGAGAACGAGAACATTACGTCAGAGAATGAGATTTTCTACGCTTCCTAACAATCTGTTATTTCTTCCAGCTTCATGTATTATTGAAAAAATGTCCTCTTATTACGATAAAGCAAATCAATATTATTATTATCTTCAATATCCAAATTTGACAGAAAGTACATAATTTTAAAGTTTCGAATTTGTATTTGTATACAGTTACTTCTCGAGTATACTTCAACGTTTGTATTAAAAATTACACACTTCTTCTGAAACTCCTAATCTCTCCAGATAAAAACTGCTCTCTAAACAATTCTGTGGTAAGGAACCGATTACAGGTAAGGCATATATGCTGGATTAGTTTATAAACTAATCCAACCACACTATAGTGTATCACATCCTGACCGATGTTACCTCACCTAATTTCTTCCACGCATGTGTTCATTAGAATCTGTATTTATGCTTGCCGCTCAACCTTCACGACATTTCACACGTGTAAAAGTTCTTACACGTGGACGCGCGTGAAACGTAAGAATTTTGTCGCTTGCGGTTAAGCGTGAATGTCATTCGCGAAATGGATTGCGTGAAAAACTGACGTGCGAATAAATGTGAAGATATTTTATACAATCAAATTAGCGCGAAACGTTTTCACGCGTGTACGCAAGTGATATTTTTCTACCGAAATTTTAACGTGAGAAATTCACGTGTGGCCACTACACACTTCACGACTTTCACCTGCGAAAAATATGACGCGAAAAGTTTTCGTGAAGGGCTCAAGCGTTGTCACAAGTGGAATATATTTTTCACGCGTGCCCACAACCATTTTACAACGTTCACGTGCGGCTACAGTTCATTTCACGATATTCACGCGTGTACACACCGTGGTACCTACTAAAATTTCCCCATGGGCGGATCACGTCGCTTCTGTCTTTCCCACGATAATGCTTCCTTGCAGCTCAATCGACCGGTTTCTCTGTTCATCGAGACAGGCTGGTCTTCGCCAGTGGAGCTCACTGAAAGTGGCCAACCGAACCATTGTCTGCATGCTGATTATCTCCCTCACTGTCTGCATCCCGGGCCTGATTTACTGGTACATTGACAACATTGACCCGTCCCTCACACACTGTTTAGTACCAGAGAATTATGTAATCTACGCTGGTTACTTCCTCATTCCTGTGCTCGCGATTTTACCTCCTCTCTTGCCTTATTCGGCTACAAAACCATGCGCAATCTCCAAACAGTTAAGACTACCATCATCTCTGGTAACAACGGTAATAACACAAGCAGCCAGAGAGAGCGAATGGAAAATCAAAATCGCTCGCATGGTCGAACTGCAAACTGTCGTCTATTTCTTCGAAGCAATGCCTTTCGTTGCCTCATTCTCCTACACGTACATCACTATCAACTGGATGAAAGCCGAGATGCAGCAGAGTCTGGAAAACCTATTCGCTGTGGGAATGTAATCAGTACTTTATTTGTCGGCACTGCCTTCTACATTTATTACCTGCAGTCGACATCCTTTCGTCACAGTGTCAACAGGTTATTAGCGTGAAAAGCAGAAGAGTTCAGAACGCAGGAGGTAGTGGAGGTGGAGCGGGAGTCTAGCTAGCACTGGTAGTGGTGCGAAATGATCGCTGAAATGCGCGAGTTAATTGAGGATGTGTGTCTGAGGGGGTGAGGGTGTGAGGGTGGTGTTTCTTGCGGGGTGAGGTTGTGAGGGTAGTGTGTCTTGAGGGGTGAGGGGGAAGGTGAGTATCACAGAGAGCAATCTGTACGACAAGTTATATCGTCTTTTCTCGCGGGACTGATCAGACAGCTTTTAGTACTGCATCAATCATTCCAAGAATGCGTTAAAACAAAGCTCCAAAAGAACTCAGGGAAGATCATGGGGTGAGTCTCGGAATGGTAAGATCTGATAAACATCCTGCCGTCAAATCTTCCTGACGAAATTAACCCTTTGGGGACCGGTTGAATTTTGAAAGAAATGATGCTTTTTTTAATTTTCACTTTCTAAAACACATGAAAAGAGTTTATATCTATTTAAAAACGGTTTAAAGTAGGATATTTTTTAAAACATTCATTGACACATAGACCAACATCCCACTCCACACATTCATAGAAAGTATCGGTACGCTTTTTTGGTCCAAGTTCTGTTCTACTGCAGACAATACATTCTCGTCTTCGGATAGCTTGTTTGCCATCTGATTGTATACGGGATGGAAAATATCTTTGGGTAAGACGAAAGAGGTGTTGATAACAATGATGGTCTTCCTCTACTTTCTTTTTTCATATTTTCAAACTTCTGAATGACCTCAGGTACCACTTCTAGGCGATAATCTAAAAATTTGAGTCTTCTCCCAGTTTTTTCCTTGTACATAATGTAAGCATTGAGAAGGGTCGTATCAAAAGTGAAAAAAAGAAACTTTTTTACCACTTAACTGTTTTTCTGACACACTCAGAAAAACTGACGTGCATATCTATGTCATCTACTGCTCCCATATTTGAGTTGTAGTCCACAATACCTAGCGGTTTTACAACTGGTTTATTTGTGATGTGGTTGGTTTTCCCAGTTCGAATCATGTCATCGTTATGATTAGTAGTCAGCATGTATATCTCCCTCTTATCATACCATCTGAGATATAAGAGATTATCTGTAAACTGAGACACTTCTCCTCCTTCTTTCAATTTCTTGAGAATTTTCGGCAAACCAATACGATTTGAGCGGACTGTTCCATAAGCTCCAGTTTTCATGTCATGAAGTGTTTCATATAAAGCAGGACTGGAATACCAGTTATCCAAATAAAGTACATGACCAACTTGAAGATATTTTTCCATGAATGTCATGACGATTGATCCTGATATTCCCAATGAAGAAAAATCTTTGATTTTTCGGGCGTACTACCCGTGTATATAATGAAATCCAATATAAATCTAGTTCTGCAGCCGCATAATATAAATAATTTGACACCAAATCGATGACGCTTGGATGGTATGTATCGCTTGAATAGGAGTTTTTCTCGCCACAACATTAGGCTTTCATCGATCACAAGATTTTTGTATAGGTACATTGGTTTACTGAATTTTTCTTTCAAATTCAGTAAAATAGGTTTTAATTTGATGTGTCAATCACCGGGAGTAGAGCACATTTTGTCGTTGAAATGCAAATAACGTAAAAGTGATAAGTATCTGTTCTGTGTCAATCATCTACCGAAAATTGGTGTTGAAATAAGATTATCAATGAACCAAAAATCTTTTATACGATTTTTCTTGGTATAAGACATGAGTGTAGTAGCAGCAAAAAAATCTACATTTCTGGAATATTTGTATCGGTCCATGGAGCAGTTTTTGCTGCAGCAGTAGAATTGCTCTGATTTGGATACATATTAGTCTGTGTCACAATATTTCCAACAAGTGATGAGTCGATAAAAAGTTCAAAGAAGTCAAGTGGTATCTCCGAAGAAGTGTTTAGTAAGTTGCTTGAAATTTCAGAATGGGTAATTGTAAACTGTTCAATTTTTAGAATAGACTTAACCTCTTTCCATTTATCTCTGGTAGTGCCATTTTTCTTTTCGGTGGTGGAGTATTATCTTCATCCTATGAGTTGGAAATATTTGTAGAATGCATAGAGACGTCGTCCAGTTCTCCATAATTATCAGTAGATTCATAGTTTTGTTCGATGTCATCTTCACTTGATTCACTTGCAGATTCAGTGTTTTGTACAATTTCTGAAATTTTGTGATCTGACGAACTTTTGCGACGTGCCATTTTTCAGTGAGACCGAAAGTAAAATTTTGTGACGTTGATCCTTTCGGAATTACTTATTGCTTCTATTAGGTAATAGGTAAAGATAGTTGTATGCGATAAACATAAGTCATCTATTATAAAAAGTGAAAGACTATTTATAGGTTTTGAACAAGATCAACGAGAACAGAATAGAAAGATCTAACGGGTAGCGCATAATAAACGGGACAAAATCTTTCGCTTCGTTTCGGGCACTACGAAAGATGTTGGAGAGCCCATCCTAGGCTCATTCGATAGAGAACTTTTTGCTCTTTCAGGCAACATTTTAGATTTAAACCATATTTGTTTAATTGAAAAGAAATGAAAAGCGAAGATGTCCAAAAAATCGTACTGCGATTGCACAGTCAAGGATTAAGTTATCGAAAAATTATGGAACATCTTGGTGGCGAAGTAAGTAAAACCACCATTGGCAGATGGATAAAAACGTTCAAAGAGTCTGGTGAAATCAATTTGAGAAGTCCAAATGGTCGGAAACGTTCAAAAAGAATCAAAAGACTGAGAAAGCAAGTCGAAGTGCATCTTCGTCAAGCCAAACATAAAATGTCAACGAGAAAATTAGCTAAGATGCACAATGTGTCGAGAAAAACTATGCAACGTTTAATTAAAGATGCTCTAGGATATAAATCATATACCAAACCTGTCGCGCCCAAACTTAATGACGTACAAAAAACAAAAAAGATTTTCATTTGGAACTTGGGTGAGAAAAAACGTTCAAAAATCTTTATCACGAAAAATTCTCTTTTCTGATGAAAAGCGATTTGATGTCGATGGTCTTTATAATCGACAAAAAGATAGAATATAGGCTCCCAGTCGTGAACAAGCTGATGTCAATGGAGGAATTCATCGAAAGACCAAATTTCCTCAGGGTGTGATGGTCTGGCTGGATGCATGTTATGATGGAATTACACGTCCCATTATTATTGAACAAGGGACAATAAATCATCAGCGATATATCAATGATATTTTTCCTATAGCATTGAAGGATGGTCGTAAACTGATGGGTGATCAATTTACATTCCAGCAGGATAGCGCTCCTGCGCATAAAGATCATCACACGCAAGCATGGTGTAAAGATCATTTTTGGGACTTCTGGCAAGCATCACGATGGCCGCCAAATTCTCCGGATTTCAATTAGCTTGATTATTCGATCTGGTATGAATTATGTTCTCAGATGAATTGGGATAAAGTGACGAACAAAAAAACCTTGATTGATCAGATTCTAGTTGGTGTTCGAAAAATTAGAACAGACGCTGTACGTCGCAGTATCGATTGTCGGACTAAAAGAGTCTATCGAATGTTACAACAAGAATGCGAATATTTTTGAATAAAGAATATGAGTTGAAAGAGCGAAAAATTCTCTATCGAATGAGCCAAGGATGGGCTTTCCAACATCTTTCCCGAAACGAAGCGAAAGATTTTGTCCCGTTTTGTTATGTGCCACCCATTATATGACCTAATGGAAGAGAATCGAACAATACATATAGTGTAAATGAAGAACACGTGACGCCATGGAAGAATATAGAAGATGAAAAAGTACATAATACGTAAGGAAAGAATATAGGACGTACATTTGTGAAAAAACCGTCAGGACGCGCATATGGGTCAGTGGTCCTCAAAGGGTTCACGAACTTGATCATTCGAGGAAGCTTACGTGTGCTCAATGCTCTTGTCGACGCGCTGTGATATTCTTTCGGAAAATGGCCTGCGAAGCGATCGGATGATCGATGTTTGTGAATTACAGAAGATTCTAGTGCGATGAAATCAAGGCCCATCTGGTTCACTTCAAATGAACGAATGTCTGAAACCCCGAGCGAGATGGATTTCTTTTTACCAAGTCGTGACGTTCGCTGTGGTGTTGAAGTAGTGAGTGCTTTTTAACAGTTGTTGATAGCTCATTCGTATCCAGACAGCGTAGAGCTAATCATCCCACAAAAAGAAGAGAGGAAAAGCATAGGCAGAGATGACGAAACAAGAAACAACAGATAAAAATGTCAGAAGAGCGAAAAAATACTAGAGATCTTACATCCGAGCTCAATGTCGTACTCTTCACTGAAAGTGAGCGACCAGTAGGAATGAGCGGATTTCTATAACTCAAACACACGGAGAAGTACGTTTATTCTCCCTTGGGATCATAGCATCTCTTCCATATAGCATGCACAAAGATAGAGCGCCGGAAACTGTACAAAAGCAGAGTGCTTCTTCGTCTGATGGCAAGTAGGTCTTGCATTGTACCCACCGATTCCTGACCAATATCGAACGAAAATCTCCATCGATCTCTAAAGCACATCGCCCATCAGGTAGCGTTTTTAGAAGATCCACAGCTTATTTTCATGTCTGTCCTGCGACTTTGCTCCTCTACGAAATGAGACATCTACTTCAGATCATTTTTGAAGGAAAAGTTTATTATAATGCGACAAACAAGCGGATAAAGCTGAGGCAAATAAGAGAAAACCGAATGAAGAACCTGAGAGAGCATCATGTCATCACGTTGATGTGCTTTACCAGAGTTCTTTTTCTTGATTAAGTCCTTGTTTGCTTGAGAGCGTAAATTAATCACACGTTGCCGTTAGATACATATTGCCTTCGTAACGCTCCATAATATTATTTGTGAAACCACTACATCCTTGATATAAACTTTGACGTGCCTCACCGAATGTTTGTCTCCACTCGTAGATATAAGATGAATCAACTGTGCACTGACAAATTCCCTGACTCTTAGTGGCACAGCCATACTGTATATCCAACGTAGATAATTGATCAAAACATCCTTCTACATTACCTCGCGTCCAGCGTTACCAGTGCGATCACCGTAACAAAATGTTTGATAAGTATTTCTGCCACTATTGCAATTGTCCGCACCAGTGCCGCGACGTGTAAGATTGTGAATAGGGCTGATGCTTTACTTTTTTTTCATCAATAAAAGAAAATAAAAGCAAAAAAAAGTTTTATTTTTTTTCAAAATAAAAAGTAAACGATCCAGAGTTTTTATTTTATTTTAAAATAAAAACCAGGGACTTTTATTTTAAAATAAAATAAAAGTCACCAACTTTTATTTTGAAAAAAAACTCATCTTTTTTTGTTCTTTTCCACAATAACACAGCTTCATTTTTATTCGTCCAGAGCTGGGACTGATGCTTTTAATTTCGTTTTCCGTTTATAAAAAAAAACAAAAGAAAAAAAAGTGTTTTATTTTTTTCAAACTAAAAACTTAACGATCCAGAGTTTTTATTTTGTTTTAAAATAAAAGTCCCTAGATGTTATTTTTTTTCAAAATAAAAGTTGGTGACTTTTATTTAAATTAGCCAGCGATGTGACTTCATTTCTGTTTAAAGAAGCAGGTGCGAAAGAGTCTTTCTCTTTGCGTATGGGCACTCGTGACTATGACTGATAAAGTAGACAAGAGATTTTTGAAGGCATATTATTATGCATTCGAGGCTGAAAATCAACTGTTGCATCAAAGGCAACGAAGCGAAGCTTCGTCGAGGAGCCTCGCTTCTCTTCGTCTCAGGTAAGTCGAGGCCGTGCGAGGTGAGATAATGCTGCCATAGCTTCCCTAGTTTCGGACTCAGTTCCGAACACAGGCTCTCGTACATCGAGTCATGAACACGATTTTGAACAATAAATGTCATAAACAAGAATGATAGCAAACTGATGAGGTGCTCGTATTATTCGGCTGCCACGTCTTTCATACGAATAGCCTCTTGTCCAAGTCCATCGCCTATTGGAATTTCGAGTATATCATTGTCATAGTGCAGCTAACTGTCTGAATTCAAGAAACTATCTGATATGGTCTTCAGAAAAACATATTCGCATTCCGAACTTTCTCTTGCAGAAGGAAGCATGGGAGAAGAGTGTGTCGGGGATGTCATTTCCTTCGAGATTGAGTAAAAAGTTACTCGAAAAGAAATTCCTGAAATTTACTAATGAGGGCTTTCCAGAAAAACACTACACCGAACTCATCTTTCGGTGTTCTGAAAAACCCTACAACCCCACCATAGATCAAATGATCGGGGTTCTCAACTGGCCTTCAATTATGAAAAAGCTGGGTCTGATCAATACTTCTCTCACTATTAATACTCCCTCACCCATACTGTCGGCTTGCTAATTGGTTTGATCTGTGTCCGCAATACAGAAGACGCGAACGGAGGGATTTGTTCGAGAAATTGTCGATGGATGCTAGTGAAATCACAAGTGGTCACAATAAAGATGGTCTGTGTTTTGTTACTAGCAAAAATTAAAATCCTTATATCTCAATCAAATCTCATGCTGACTCAAGGAAATTTTCAGAAAAGGCTTAAAAGGTGTCATATGTTGTTGACCACGCCAAAAAAGTGGTCCAGCAGAATACTGATGCTCTGAGGTTTTTCAGAAGGTTTCTGGAAAACCTTAAGCCAATGCTCAGCTCACATTCACCTTTTTCGTCTTCGATTATGCTTTATGAGCTGTCCTGAGCATTTGCTGAAAATTTTCTTGAGTCAGCATGAGATTTGATTGAGATATAAGGATTTTAATTTTTGCTAGTAACAGGCGAAAAACCGGTTTTTCACAACAATGCCTCTGACGAAGTTATATTCATTTCTACACA